CATCCTTGTCGAACATGAACATGTCCGCGGACAAGTCCGTAAAGCCATATCGCTCCGAGAGACAGAGTCCAGGCATGATGTAGCCCACGTCGCCAGGAATATCAGCAGCGATTTCGAGCTCGGTGAAGTGAACAGGCACGAAGGGTCTCGTGAAGTCGAAGCCTCCGTCCTTGTCACCTATCCACGTGCTGCTCAGCCAGCTCTGGAAGACCGCGTCCAAGGTACCCGCGTGAATGAGGAACGGTCGCTCAATTTGCCCCTTGCTGTAGGTCTCCCCGATATCGGTCACTCTGATATTGAAGGTGCTCTGGCCGTCGCCAACATGGCAGCCCTCGATACCCTGGAAAGCTTCTCCGTATTTCCACGAGGCACTGTTCATGTGGTTATAGAAGTTTTCCTTGGCATACTCAAGGTTTGAGTCCATGTGAACGCGATGGTACTCCGCGACTCTTGAGGCTGCGATGATGGCATCCTCCTCTACCATCTGCAGCGTTGTGTCTTCATGGTAATCGATGGTCATCAGTCCACGGCAGTTGTCCCTAAGCTGATCACCTCCGACGCATGAAGACATAGTAAACTCCCACCACGCTGCGGGGGTTGAACCTAGGGTGGATTGGAGGTAGGGCCTCATGTGAACAATGACTTCTGTTGCAACTCCTTCGGGGAGAGCCATGGCAGCGAAAAGAGATACATCGCGTAAACGAAAAGCTCGAGCAGTCTTTCCCGGTGCAACAAGCTGTTGACTAGCTTCGAGAATGATACTAGTCATACCAGCACCGGGAAGAAGTACGGTGCTGCCGACCATGTGCCCACGAAGCCAAGGTTCGTCTTCGAGGCGCAAGAAGCTGCGCCAAACCCTCTGTGTCTCATCCATCATTGGCACCGGCGCTCCCAGGAGACTTCTTGTGGGAAATTTCTGTGCTAGCAGTTCCTTTGCAATGCGAGAGTCGCAGCGGAAAACTTTAGAGTGGTTCCAGGGGTACGACGGAAGATTCGTGAGAAGCTCGCAGTGAGAATCTCCATTGACCTTTTGGAGTTCCAGAGAGACACCTTCAGCGAAAAGCTCGGAAGCGAGCTGCAAACTCGTGTCGACGGCGCTTTGGAGTCTGGTGAGAACGGACTTGTAGCTGACATCGCTGATCCCGTGGTGAGACAATATCTGCTCAATAGGGCCACCAAGAGCGCTATGAGGACCAAGTTCGATCAAGAGGTCAAGAGTCTTGCCACCTGCCTCTGCTGCTGGAGAAACCATCTCCTTGATTGCTTGCTCAAAGAGAACAGGAGATACCAGGTTACGTACCCAGTAGTAGCCCCCAAGCAACTCAGGGGCAGCTTCACTACCAGTGACACTAGAGATCATGGTTACTCGCTTAGTGTCGTCTTCCTCTGAGCTATTCGGCTCAATGTCTGCGATGGAAGCGGCGTAGTCTGCTGCAGCACCCTGCATGTGGCTAGAGTGGTAGGCGACATCGACCTGAAGCATGCGAGCAAACATGCTTTCCTTCTCGAGGATAGCTCGCAGTCTCTCGAGAGCAGCCGAGTCACCCGAAATGGTGACGCTGTTCGGAGAGTTCACACAGGCTACTGTCGCGACACCGCCGAGATGCTCTCCGTGTTGTGCGAGCAATGATCGTGCTTGATCATAGGAGCAGCCGACAGCCATCATGCCGCCCTTGAGGCCGACCAGACCGGAGGAAGCTTTGCCTCTGAAGTAAGCGATGGCAATAGCATCACGGTGGGTGAGCGCCCCTGCGCAGTACGCTGCTGCAATCTCTCCACTTGAGTGGCCAGCGACTTTTTTGGGTGTCACGCCCCAAGAGTGCAGCTCGTCAACCAGGGCAATCTGCAAAACGGTACAGATGGGCTGGCTGATCATAGGCGCCTTGAGACGTGACTCTTGCTTTGACCTCGTGAGTTCTTCGACTGGGTCCCAGTCGCAGCCCATGGACTTCAGGAGAGCCGCAGACCGCGCAACTGAATCTCTAAAGACTGGGTGGGACTTGAGCATCTCGACACCCATGCCAGCCCACTGCGCTCCCTGGCCAGTAAAGACGAACCCGATCCTCGGCTTGCTGTCTGGGGTTCTCGTAGTCTTGTCGCCAGCAGTGGTTGAAAGCTTGTGTCGGAGCTCAGCGGCGTTTTCAGCCGACAAACTCCATCTCCAAGTCAGGCCCGACCTCGCGACAGATAGGGTGTGTGCCAGCTTGGCGAGATACTCTGGACTCGAAGCAGCGGGGCCAAGGGCGTCCATGTGCTCAACCAACTTATCGCCGATGCGTTTGAGCCCAGCTTGATCGTGACTGCTGAAGACAAATAGTCTCTTCTTGTTGTTTGGAGTCTCGCGGGCGACACCGTTGGCGGGCAGTAGTGACTTCCACTGGTCCGAGTTGAATGACTCCAACACAACGTGGCCGTTTGTGCCGCCCATGCCAAAGCCACTGACACTCATCCGCTTGGTCTTGCAGACAGGCCAAGGTGTTAGCTTTGTCGGTACGGCCATGTTCCATTCATCGAATGGAATTGCGGGGTTGGGCTTGTTGAAGTAGATGTTGGGGGGTATCATTCCGTTCTCCATGGCCAGGACGCCCTTGATAATTCCCGCTACACCAGCGGCAGCTTCTAAGTGACCGATCTAGGAGCTTGGAATTAGTCTTCCATTAATTCAGTGGCCAGTAACTTCGAAATCCTTACATTTGGCTTGAGACTTCCCATCCAAAGCTTTCGCGACTTCGTCGCACCTGATCCGATGGTTCTTGAGATAGCTCCCGCTTCCAGGGGATCTCCAGCCTTTGTGCCTGTGCCCTACAAGACAATCGTACTGTCAATCTGGCTATCACACGAGTTCAATTGTTGGACTTTGGTGGTGACTTACGTGAGCCTCTACATATTGAGTCGCAGAGTAGTCAAGTCCATTAGATTCGTAGACGTATTTGATAAGCGCCGCCTGTGCCTCGCCAGAAGGCAGCGTCACACCCTGTGTCCACCCGTCCGAGTTGGCGCCCGTGGCCCGGATGACAGCACGGATAGGATCTCCATCAGCAAGCGCGTTGTCCAGCCGCTTGAGGATGAGGGCGCCAGCACCTTCACCGCGACCATAGCCACCAGCATCTGCATCGAACGACCGAGAGTGGCCCTCGGGGTTGAGGAACGTCAAGTTGGCCAGCTGAATGTTGCCGTCGGGGGTGAGCGTCAGACCGATACCACCCGCAATGGCCATTTCCGACTCTCCGGAGTGGAGACTCTGGCATGCCAAGTGCGTAGCCACCAGACTCGAGGAGCACGCCGTCTGGATGGTGGCACTGGGGCCGTGGATGTCGAGAAAGTGCGAGATACGGTTCGAGACCATCTCCTCGCAGTTGCCGAGGATGTAATACTTAGGCCAGTTTGCGAAATCCCTGGTCACCATGTCTCTGTAGTCGCTCGTCGAGGAGCCGATGTAACACGCAGTTTGTGTGCCGGCGACTTTTGGCAGGGGCATGCCGGCGTTCTCGAGCGCCTCGTAAGCGACTTCCATCATAATACGCTGCTTCGGATCAAGGGCCATAGCTTCGGCTGCTGTGATGTTGAAGAAGGATGCGTCCCACAGATAGGGATCCTCCTTCAGGAAGTGCCCTCCTTTCGTGGCCAAAGTATTGACGCGATCTTTGCTGTTGGGGTGATGGAAGGCGTCTGAGTTCCATCGATCCGTACTAGGGGAGTAGGCGTCTTGATTAAAGTTAGCAGAGGTTTTCAAAACTGAACCCCATAATGACCAGTCCCTCACCTCTTCCATTCTTCAGGAGGTCCCAGAATTTGGATGGCGATGTCGCATCACCTGGGAAGCGACATCCCATTCCCACAATCGCAATCGGGATGCGCTCATCTTTGCGGGCTGCAACCATGTTGAGTGATATGTCGTGGAGATTTTGCCTGTTGTTGAAAACTAGTCTATAGCGCTCGCGCCTTGTATTGGGTATTATCTATGAGAGGGGGCGTGTCTAACGTGTTCTAGGCAAAGTGAAAGGCGAACCAGGTCTTCGATGAGGATCATGGGGAGCGCCAGACCACTTCAATATAGATACATGTACTTTCGGTAGACATCTGACAATCTAGCAGCGTCGTTTCTCAAGTCAGCACAAGCAATATCCTCTGAATCGGCACTTCCGGCCTTGCACAGAGAATCGAACGGTCACCCGTTGTTTCGGCAATTTTGCCGTGCGAAGTGAATACAGGGCGGGAGTCCGGCGATGGACCGTGTTCAGTGACGCCGGCGGGCACCGGCGGCCTGCATTGAATGCTCAATCGAATGCTCCATCGAATGCCCGTATCTGAACTGGGGTCACCCGCAAAATTGCAGAGTGTGCAGCGGCAAATGTTGAACTGTAGCGGTGAAAGAGCGTGTTCGGAGGGAGTAGGTTCAGACTGATTCTCTCGGAGCTGGTGTTTCGTCTATTCAGCTCCGAAAGAGCTGGGATTATCCTCTTCGACTGCGCCAGGTCTACTGTTCCGATTCGCCAATGCGTCCAAAGTCAAAGGCCACTTTCTGACCAATAGAACTACACGATGAAGTCTCCGAACAGATGAGCTTTGACATTTGCAATAGGATAGTGCTCCGACTTGGAATATGGTCTTCAAGTGCAACATTATATCCGTGCATTTACGAGGGCCGGAGATGGTGTCTTTCTGCATTGGATCTGGCTTTCCCAAGGTGCCGTCGGCCCTGTCTGACAATGACGGGACCACTGTAGCGAGATTCCAGGGAAACTTCATGGTCGATGCCTGTCAGCCTCGCTCTGATATTTTCACATGGTATCACCTCAGTTCTGCGTTCTCAATCCATTGGCAGAAATCTTGTACTCTGGCGAGGGTGTCACCAGATTAAAGCTACTGAGCAAATGAACGTATGAGCAGAGCATTTCGTTCCCCTACTTTCTGATATACCACGCTCATCGGCTCCTCAGCAATTGTCTCATCACTTACTTCATTCGAATCTTCCACATCACTCTCACATACACGTCACAATGGCAATTGGCACTGCCCCAAAATCGGTCATCGTCACCGGCGGCGCCAGCGGCATTGGTCTCACCATAGTACGCCACTTCGCTTCGCAGGGCGGCAAAGTCGCCATCTTTGACGTCAACGCAACTTCTGGCAAGTTCATTGCGTCTGACATTGCCTCAGAGTATCCTCAGTCTACGGTGACCTTCCACCAATGCGATGTTTCTTCGTGGAAGGAACAGGCTCAGGCGTTCTCAAATGTTTATGATGCATTCGGCAGGATAGATTTTGTTTTTGCGAATGCCGGTATAGCCGAGGGGATGTCGAACGCCCTTGCGACTATCCACCCAGACGCTCCCCAAGAGCCGAACCTGAAGGTTGTAGCCGTAGACCTAAATGGAGTCATCTATTGTAAGTGAAACGCGATCTGGACCTCGCTGGTCGTGCATGACTTCGAGGCTAACATCGCCTCCTGTAGCTGTTAAACTCGCCATCCACTACATCAGCAAGAACCAAGTATGCGGAGATTCTCGAGGCTCCATCATTTGCACTGCTTCAGATGCCGCTCTTTATCCGTTCCCAGTCGGGCCGATGTACGCAGCTGCCAAGGCTGGCGTGATTGGTCTCGTGCGATCGACAGCTCCTATACTTGAAGATCTCAAGATCCAGATCAATACGATGGCACCAGCAGCTCTAGGTATGAAGCTCAACGGATCTCAAGGGCAATGTCCCCACCAGATCACTAATGGTAGATCAGTCACGAACATCATCCCCGACCCAGAAATGTACAAGCACATGGTAGTCACACCAATGTCTACCCTGATCAAGGGCGTATCGCAGATTGTAGGCGATGCAAGTCTCAACGGTAAAGTTGTAGAGATTCACGACGAAGAACCGACCATACGCGACGAGCCTTATCAGTTCGTGTCGGATGGAACTCGCCACAACCAAGAGAAAGCGTGGGAGATGTTCAAATTCTTCAAGGCTTCGACTGGAGGTCTTCACGCTCCATAGACATGCCACGTTAGAAGTGCTTGCCGCTGCAAATACCAAGTATACAATGCACAACATAGACGTGCCTAGGGCTCCAGTCGTGCGTGGTTCAAAAGTCGATTACCCGGTCACATCGTTGAAATGACTCCCGTGTTGACTGGGAATCGGGGAATCACTTCTTATTGCCCACGAGATATTACACTTTAGATCAACCCCGTTGTAATCAATGCTCGGATGACAGGATGACATTTGTTACTTCGTATTCAATACGCGTAAAACCCCAATATCTCTAGCCCCGGACACATCATACAGAAGAAGCTGGCGAATGGCACCCTGGCTGGGTAGGAGTCTTCCCCGCCTTCAAGCTACTTCGCGCCTTGTTCTCGGGAAAACTCTGGCTATCAGCCTACCGTGACCCCGCGCTTCACCATATTTCGACTTCCCCGTGGGGAGATCGCATGGTTCGCAACCAATTGAAAAGTAACTCTACCACACTATCCAGATGTACGGATCTCCTTCTCCATGGAGCACCGACGCAGGCCCTTGACACCTTGTTCGGCTCCTCAATCTTGCCGACATGCCACCGGCTCAAGTCAGTTGTGATTTGCCAACATGTTGAAAGACTAGTTGGACAGCTCTCGGCTGGCAGCAAGAAACCATGCCATTATGAACAAACATCTTTACATATGACGTGAATCTGGTGACTATGAGCGGTTCGGCACTACAACGGCCTCAGTGGGAATGAATTCAAGTTGAAGAATGCCCCCTGGGAAGTTAAGTCCGCATACATTGTAAGTAGTATAAATGCATGCTCCTGGCTCCTCGGCCATGAGTTCAGGGCGATCTAAAAAGGTTTCTCGTTCAGCTGTAGAGCAACAAACATCATGAGAATCCAGGCAATCAACCTCCAGCGGATGTCTATGCTGGTTCTGTAGGTCATGCCATTGCTTTACGACCGCTTCAGAGGCTTTGCCAAATGCTGACATTCACGCCGAAGCTGCCTTGTCCAGGTCGCTGCCCAGGATGAGTATCAATGGCCATCCTTCAGACATCTGGAGTATGCCACTCCTGTCTCCGCAACGGAGGGAGCGCCCACACATGCCCGCCCCTACTCAGAGCTTTCCACTTTACTTGAACCACGATCCACCACAACTTGGGATGCTCCCGGTGTGACCCCGACAGATCAAGGCGTAAAATACGGCAACGCCGCCCTATTTTCCCTCTGGGCCCCCATTCCCGTCCTCTCACCACCATTCACCACAACCGTCTCACCAACTCCGATCCCCAGCACTGAACTCGTCAAGCCGCCGCCTCTGCCCCTCCAACCACCACCAGAAACAACTTTCAACGGGACTCTGAAGTTCCCAAAGTCCTTCCAATGGGGATTTGCCGGCGCAGCCCTACAAATCGAAGGAGCCATACAGAACGAAGGCCGCAGCCCGAGTATCTGGGAAAATCGCTCCAGGGGAAACTACTCCTCTTCCGGTCCCGGCGGTGGCCCGCCCGACATCGCAGCAATGAACTACTACCTCTACAAAGAAGACATTGCCCGCCTTGCCGCCGTTGGAGTGCAGTCCTACAGCTTTAGCATCTCCTGGTCCCGTATCGTCCCCTTTGGCGTTCGAGGGTCTCCCATCAACAAGGAGGGCATCGACCACTACAACGATGTAATCGACACTGTTCTCGCTTACGGGATGAAGCCCGTCGTGACACTACACCACTTTGATACCCCGGCCTACTTTCAGTCAAACACCTCCTTCTTGTCCTTTGACCATCCAGAGTTCGTCGATGGCTTCGTGTATTACGCGCAGACGGTGCTCGCGCACTACTCGGATCGCGTAGGCACGTGGTACACCTTCAACGAGCCAACCATCGAGGCGGCCATCACCGGTGCATGGCAGCCCAGTCGCTTCGTTCTCGAAGCTCACGCCAAAGTTGTGCGGTGGTACCGAGACGTCATCCAGGGGGATGCCCTCTGGAGCATGAAGTTTGACCTTAGTGGGACCGGGTTCGCGCTGCCGTTGGACCCGGGAAACGCCTCGGATGTCGCAGCCGCAATCAGACGTAACGAGTTCACCATCGGTTACTTTGCGCGGCCGTTGTTCCTGGGTGAGGATGTGCCGCAGTCTATGATTGATACCGTTGGTGACCGAATTCCTTCGTACACGTCCGAAAAGTTGCAGTTCTTCAACGGTACTGCTGACTTTTTTGCTTTTGATATTTACACTGCTTCCTATCACTCAGAACCTACAGGTGGCTTTGAAGCATGTGCTTCTGATTCCAAGCATCCTCTGTATCCAGAGTGCACCGTTACCACCACCTCGCGAGGAGGGTGGGAGGCGAACTTTCATGGCAATGTTGACAGGCCTGCGGTAAGTGATGGATCCTTCGACTTTAGCAGGATACAACTGAAAGAGGTTTTCAACAGGTGCCAGCGGAGCATGTGCGGTCTATTCTCGGTTTCCTACAAGCCACGTACCCTACCAAAGGCGGCATCACCATTGCAGAGTTTGGTCTCCCGGCTTTCAAGGCGTCGGACATGTCTGTACACCATATCCGAAGTGATCTAGCGCAGTCCGAATTTTACATTCCCATCCTGAATGAGGTTCTAAAGGCAATCAATATCGATGGTGTTCACGTCAAGGGGCTATACGGCTGGTCTTATCTTGACAACTGGGAATGGGGTCAATATGATGACAAGTACGGGGTGCAAGGGTATAACCAGACAACCCAAGAGCGTTTCTACAAACGCGCAATCTTTGATTACGCGGGTTTCGTGCAGGAACACATGGCTTCTTGAAGTCTCGAGGGAACGAGGAGGTTGACGATGTAATTACAAATTACATTTACGCTTGCCTTACACATGAGTATTTTCCACGGGCATCAGACCCGCAGCCATGAACCTATTTATGCAAGATACTTCAAGATGAACGGCACAGTCTCAACGACATCCCAGTCCTCCTCCTTGCTCGCATCCCCAAAAATTCTCAGCGCGCGCGCAATAAACGCATAGCTGCCCTCGGGCACAATAGTCCGATCAGCCAAGAAGCCGCCAAAGTTCCATGTGTACCCGAACCTGTGCGCATACGCAACAGGCGACTGCGGCAGCGCGCCGAGGGTCGGGTACCCGAGCACATCAGTGACCTTGAGGGTAGAGTTGCCGCTTCTTCCGAGGGCAACGAGCTCGACATGCAGATCGGTGGTGCCGACGGTCGGGGTCACGACCATCTTGGGGTAGATGGCACTGCCCGTAGATCCGGGACGCGGAATAGTGAAAGTCCGGTTCGCGGCAACGGGGATGAGGAAGTGGTTGTCCGTGGAGGAGAGGTAGACCCCGTTCAGACCGAGGCCGGGGACCAGGACGGGGGTGTCGCGCATGCTTCCGCCGACACCGAGGTACGGCACGGATAAGGTCTCGCTGTTGCTTCCTTCGAGGGTGATGTATCCGCTGTACACGGGCAAGAGCGTGGCATTGAGACCGGAGGGAGGCACGGCGGTGAACTTGACGTCGGCGCTGCCGCCGGCGGGGACGGTCAGGGAGTCGGCTTCAAAGTTGATTGTCGCCCATTCGTCGACGGTCGGGGGCGGGGCACGGGCGACGTTGAGCTGGGCTTCGCCCGGAGTAAAGGTGTACACCGTCACGGACTTGGCATGGCCGAGCTTGTAGGTGACCTCCTCAGCGGCCGTGTTCTTCACGCTGAAGGTGTGCTCGCCGACGAAATGGTCTGTATCGTTGAAGGAGATACCCGTTGAGCCGAGGATCGTAGTGGCATGAGCGGCGTCCCAAGCCTGTACGAGGCCGGCGCCCTGCTGCGGCACAGGGGCGAGAATACCATCGTGAGCAACGGTGCCATCGTTCCAGGCCTTCGGCTGAGCAGTGGCAGCGATGACGGAGCGGAGGGTCTCCTGGTCGAGGGTACCGCGGACCTGGCCGACAAGGGCGTAGACGGCGGCGACGAAGGGAGTGGACATAGAAGTACCTGGGTTGACCATGTACTCGCCCTGGTCCCAGGTCCAGGTGGAGAGGATGCCGCCGCCGGGAGCGGTAAACTGGGGCTTCACTTCAAGCTCCCAGGTTGGGCCGTAGCTGGAGAAGGGGCTGGTGTAGCCGGCAGTCGGTCCATTTGTGATGGGCTCGGCGAAGAGGCCGGATGTCTCGGGGGGTCCGATGGTGATGGTGACATTTTCGGCGTGGGCTTTCCATTCCTGGGCCTGACGGGGCATGACCATTCCAATGCCAAGAATGCCCTCGGTGTAGACGTACGGGGGATAGATCCTACTGACCTCCCATTAGCCATCACCATCCTAATCAAAGGCATCTCAAGTGTGTGGAAAGATAGACTTACGACTCGCTAGCAGGATAGAAGAGGATGTACTTCGCGCCTCTGGCGAGGAGGTTCGCGGCCTGAACATCGGATTGGCATCCTGCGTCCATAGAGATCAAGGGAATAGAATCGGTCAAATCGATATCAGCTGGGATAGGGTTGCAGGCCGTAACGTTTGCACCCGCAATCCATAGACGGAGAGTCACGTTCGCAGTGGTGACGGGGGTGCTGTCGGCCCACCCAAAGGCGAATTCGCCCGTCTCGTTGACAAATGAGCCGCGCTTCATGAGGTTAGGCAAAATGGTGTTGTCAACGGACCCAATGCCAGCAACAGCCTTTCCAGACGCCGGCGAGGCCACAGCCCAGACTCCCAAGTTACCAGAGTTGCCAGCCGCAACAACGACGGGAATACCAGCCTCGGCAATGCGCGAGACAGCGACGCCAGCAGCATCGCTCGCCCAACCCGAGTCGTCGCCCGCAGAGCACGAGATGACATCGCTTCCATCCTCGTATGCGCGGTAGAAAGCAGACACCAGAATCTCGCTCGTCGTATACCCAGCGCACCCGCTGACCTTGTACGCGCCTAGCGTGACATCCGGCGCAGCACCCGTGAAGCCAAGCTCGTTCTCCTGCGCCATGATGATACCCGCAACGTGCGTGCCGTGGCCCTGGCAGGTGTCAAGAGGATCCGCGTCAGGAGTAGGCGCGTCGGAGCTCTCGTAGTAATTGTCCCCGGTAAAGTCCCAGCCGTACGCGACGTGGCAGCCCTCGCCGAAGCAGCCGCCCAGGGCAGGATGTCGGTAGTCCACGCCCGTGTCAACGATGGCGACTTTGATGCCCTTGCCCGTGAACCCAGCCTCTCGGAGCTTGTCGACCTGCGTCATGATATGGGTGCTGTAGGTATCCTTGGCGGCCTCGTCGCGTCTGTCCTTGAGGGAGCGCAGGAGGGCAGCACTGGAAGCGGTCCCGTTGCGGCCGATGGATGTGCCCACGGGCTTGGGCATTTTGATCTTGCGGACCGGCCAGACGCCCTTGACGCTGAGCTTGTCTGCGATCTTGGCGGTGGTGATGTCGGGCTCGCCGGCGTCGTCGACGCTGAAAGAGGCACCGTTGAAGAGGCCGAACTTGAGGTCCAGGCGGGGTTTCACGGCAAGGCCATCAGAACGCAGCTCATCGTAGAGCGCTGAGGGGTCCTGTTCACCCTTAAGCTCGACGATGTAGGCGCCTTGGACGAAGACATCTTCGTTGACCGCGGGTGCAGCAGCTGCAGCATCATCAGCGGCAACAACAACATGCGATGCAGAGGCGAGAAGCCCTAGCAGGAGGGAGGCATTGGAGGAGAACCTCATGGTGATGGCGGTGGACGCTGGAAATGAAACGAATGACCGGCGGTAACGACGGAAACTCTTTCAATAGAGGCGAGTGGGCACATCATACCCGTGTATATAATATTCCTCTACAAGTGTCTTTCTTTCCGTGTTGTTGATGGCGTGGAGTTGGGTCTGGGATTGCGAGTGTGCGAGCCTGCAAGTGACGGGCGACGGATCGTGAGTGAACACGAGAAATTGGGACCTTCCCGAATGGGTAGTGAAATTTCCGGGCCATTGGGGTTCGTGGAGATCTTTGCCTGAGCTTGCAGTGATAATTAAGTTGCTTGATAGTTGCCAAGCCGGCAAAGATATCCTCGCTTTCGCATCTTGTCTGCTTTTCCAACTGTCATAATCGGCCGAGAAGTATGGATCAAGATGGAATTCAGAGACGCTAGACCAGCCTCGAGCTTCAGATATCCAGAGTTGAAAAGGGATATAGACAACGTGACAACGTGACAACTCGGTGAAAGCAACCATAACTCTGTACCACCACTGCAATACCACTCTCGGCCGACAGCCGAACTCAAGGTCGTGGGGCCGCAGGTCGTATTCGAAGATCACAGTGGGCCGAGCGCACGCCGCTACAGTCTTGGAGCACGTCACTGCAGCAAAGTGAGCAGGCGAGCTTAGATTAATCGTCATCCTGGACGCTGTCGAAGTGCTCTGATATCCGTATCTCTCAAATTCCAACATCCCCGCCGTAACCGACGAAGCCGGGGGCCGTTGTTAGTTTTAGCTGCCGGGTGTGGCACCTTTAACCTCGCCCGCGTCCATAAGCTTAATCTACCTTAACTCTTGGGGGGGCTTTATTTAGCCTTAGGTGGACAGGAGTTCGCAAGGGTGCGGCACCCTGCGTACCTTGAAGATAGCGTGATAGAGGAGTGCATCGACTGTCAGCCACCTACAGCACAGGATCTCGTATTCCAATCTGCCCATGGTATTGAACGTTCTCGACGCTTCTTAAAGAGGCAAGTTGTAGAGTCTGAACAGCTCATGTGGAAGATCCAATTGGTGGAGTTAAAGACGGCACTCGAACCGAGGACACAGCGGTGGTCAACAGTTACTTTTGCATTGTGGGAAGCCGTGGGATCCGTGGAACCCCAACTCTAAACAACGCGTTCAGGGGCCAATTGATGGCAACAGAGTCCAGATCCCCAACTGGCGCAAAAGGGCGACGACTTTCACCATTCGAAGCTCACCAAAACAAAAGATATTAGCACAACCTGGTTTCGATCCAGGGACCTCTGGGTTATGAGCCCAGCGCTCTACCCCTGAGCTATTGTGCTTGTTGAATTGTGGGGTTGGATTGTGAATCCACATCGACTTGCGCGAATTTGCTCGACCAAGTTGCATCATCACGAGGTTTCGTCGCGTCTTCTATCAACCACGTCGCGGTCGTTACCACCGATGAGAGCTTCAAAGACGACTTCTGGGCCACCACTCATTCAGGTTTTCGATTTGACGGACTCTGATACCATATCTACCTTTATCAAACCTAACAGGGCCCAAGCAGCGCAATATTGCAAAGATTGATAATGAGCGCTCTACTGAAGGCACATAAATAAATGTCAACCGGTGGGAACTCGTGAACTTAGGAGCTTAAGAAATCCTCCTCGTTTAAAACTTGCCTTCCTTGGCAGAATCAACGTCCAGAACCCATCCCTCTTCAATCTCTTTGCACAGTATGCAGCTTCACCCACAACGGCGCCTTCTCCCAGACCATGAACACCTTCTGCGTCCCAATCCAATCCCCCTCTGTAGCATTCTCAATATCAAACTGCCACACCAACCTCGCCATGATGATCTTAATCTCCGCATACGCCAAGTTCCTTCCAATGCAATTCCGCGGCCCAACCTGGAAAGGCTGCGACGCATCGCGCTGATCTCCAGCAAACAGCCGCACATCCACATCCTCATCGCCTGCTCCTTCCTCGCTGCCACCATCCTTCGTTGTCATCCATCGTTCAGGGATAAACTCCTCCGGCAGCGTCCAGTTGATGGGACTGTGGGATGCTGCGTAAATGGGGATGCTAACGGACGTTCCCTCGGGCAAGAAGACGCCGTCGACGGTCGCGCCGCCGGCGGGCACGATGCGGTGGTGCGGTTGCGGTGAGGGTGGGTAGACGCGTAGGGCCTCTTCGATACAGGCGAGGAGGTATTTGCAGCTGTTGACGCCCGTGAAGGTGATTTCGTCTGGGTGGGTGAAGGTTGAGCGGACTTCGGTTGTGAGTTTGGCGAGAACGCGGGGGTTCTGGGTGAGGAGGTATGTGAGACCTGAGTGATGTTGTCAGTCATGAGCGACCTTTCCTTCCCTAGAGCGCTTCACAGAATGCCACGTCGGAGTGGCTTGACTGCGATGACTGGAAACATGTCGACCTACCTGCTAGCAACGTCGCCGTGGTCTCGCTCCCGGCAGCGATGAGGATCTGCGAGTTGCCCTCGAGCTGTTTATACGACATCTTGCCCGCGTTGTACGCCGAAATCAACTTCTCCATGAAATCAGGAACAGTCGCCTCCGTTTGGAGTCGATGCTGGACCTTCTCCTGATAATTTCCAATCCAGATATTAGCACAGCTCATGAGGCAGGATAACTTCAAGTTGAATATAGCAAGGAGATACAGTCAGTTGCAGACTTACACTCTGGAGTTCATTCAATGTCTTGACTTCTTTGGCAATAGTCTTCGGCATCGTCAACAGCGTGGCGGGAAGCTGGAGTAACTTGGGGAGACGGGAGATGGCCTGGTGGAAGGACATGAATTTCGCTAGAGCGAAGAAGATCTGGACCCATGTGTGAAGGGTCGACGTTGTCAAGCAGTCGAATGACTCGCCAAAGGCTATCAAAAAGCCGAGTTAGAGGAGGAAGTCGAGGTGAATGGCCTCCAGACTTACTGAGGAATCCGATAAAGTCAAAAGTAAGGAACTGCGAGAGACGATCAGCATCACACCCTTCATTCTCCAATCCTCAATAAACTCACATTATACCACTGCACAACATCAACAGGCCGTCCCCCTTCCCCCACCTCCCCAAGCCTCGCAAACAGCACATCAACAAACCCCTTCAACACCCCCTCCTGCTCCCTCATAGCCTTCTCCGAGAAGCCATGCGCGAACAACCTGCGAATGTACGAATGATACTCCCGGTCCGCATTTATAATCACTGCGTCACCCTTGAGCGCAGAATGGTACTTGCCATCTTTACTGAACTCGGGCTGGCCTGGCGCTTTGTGCCCGTAAATCTCCTTCCACTGCGGCGCCTTGATGTACGACAGGGAATCCGGGGATGTGCGCACGACGGGACCATAGGTGTTGTGTAAGTCTAAGAGGTCGTAGGGAGTGCGGCCGTCTAGGTAGGAGAGGGCTGTCCACCAAGGTGTTGCGGCTGCTAGGCGGGGGCCTGGGAAGGAGGAAAGGGGGTGGAAGTAGATGTTGTAGATTGCGAGGGTGACGTAGTAGAGGATGGCCTTATGAATAATCAGCTGCGTTTGCGTACGAGATCTAAAGCTACTTCGAGACTTACAACGATAATTGCACACGGGATGAGCAATAGCCCGTGATAGACAGTCAAAGATTCGAAGGCGGGAAACATCTTGTGCTCTAATTCCAACTATAAGAGAAAAAACCTTCAGAAATCCAGCGCAAGTCAATAGAGATTGTGAACATGCTGAAGAAGAGCAAAAGAGAAAAACGCAGATTTTGAAAGCACATCCCCCAGATATAACATTCTCTTTCTGAAGCATAAGTCGTACAACACGATCACGGACGCAAAAGAAGCCGTCCAGAGTTACACGACAGGCGCCAGAGCTGCCAAAGCATCGAGTTATGCAGAATTGTGCACGCTCCGGGGTGGCACAAGTCATGCATCCTAAAGCTGCAACCAATCATGGTGCTACAATCCACCTAGCTTGGCGTAGAATGCACAACGCTCGTTTTATGTAGCATGGATTTGTATCGTTTCACCTCCCCGCAATGTGGGATCGGGCTTCTTGAAGAACCCGAAGACTCTGGTGATGATTACCCGGATACCACGATTGAATATCTCTCAAGCCCGGCAATTGAGCTGTCGAGCGCTATGTAACACTCGAATACGCGGAAACAATAGCTCCAATTTCTGGAAACGCAAATAAAGTGTAGTCAAGAGCTTCAAGGTTCAATGTCAACAGAGTTTAGTCCGTGACTTTCGTCCCTGAAGCCGATTCAGCGGCAAGTCGAGACAAGACGAACTTGCACTACGTCAAGTTGCGGCAATTGACGTTGAGCTGAACACCACCACATCACTCACTCTTCCATAAAGTTCAAACAGTGTAGGGGAATCATACTTGCACACGATGTGAGGTCAAGGAGAAATGCTTTTTCATACAACCCCGCCATCGATATTTTGTTCCCTCGCAGTCCCGTTCCCTCCACCAAATCCCAATTCTCAACCACTGATTCTCAACAACGAGCGAATCACCACCGACCTTTACCTTTTCACCCGTCTTTACACTTGGATTTCTCCATCCTCATCGACTAAGACCCCGCAACAAACCCTTGGATTCAGACTCTTAGCCCAATGAACTACAGTAGTATAGTACTAACAAAGCTTCAACTTCACCATCTCCTCCACATCTCCCCCCCAAAAATGAGGTATGCCAAGCCCTCAAGCGCCGCCCCCAAAATCCTCCCTCCCCTCTTCCCGTCCGTCCTCCCGCCGCTCCAAGAAAAAGGGCGGCGAGGCGGCGCATCTCCCGCAATTAATCATACCTTCGGATACGGATGCTTACTCGCCTCATCGCCAAGACACCAGTGACGCTCTCTCCCGAATCGCCGCAACGCCCAGGGGCCCTGTGGCTTGCCGACGTCACAGCATCTTGGTCTTGACGTCGAGCGAAACTACGAATCTGAGCTCCTCTCTGGGTAGCAATTGATGCTGTTGTCGACCGTTGTCAATTTAGCGGGAAGATTGGTTCAATTCACGCAGTAATCATAGTGGTGTTCATCGATTTTGCACGGGAGAAATCGCGGAAGTAGAGGCGACCGTTGAGAGCAACCTAAAAGATCTTGTTTGTGAATGTATTACACGCAAGTCGATGAAGGCGCATTCTCACTGAACTTGATGGAAGTAATTGATCAATTCGCCCATGATATTAACACTATATGTAACCGCAAGATTCCTTGCTTCTGCTCGACACCTCGCCGCACCGCTATACTCTCTGTCGCTCAGGTAGCTTCACCACAAACAAGCGGCAAGCGCAACAGCACCCCTCGTGAATGGGTATCCTAAATCATCGCAGTCGCACCGACCGCACACATCCCATCATATTCCGCGCATTAAACGAATAACAAATCACACATCAAGCCTTGTGGCAAGTACAGCTCAACTTAGGCGACGTTGCTCTTGGCCCGGCGAATCTCCTTGCCCTTGTCGGACCACGGCAGGTGGAAAACGGGAACCTGGAAGAAGGAGTTGCTACAAGGAATTTCAATATTAGCAAACTGAATCCACATCGTGCGCATTGTACTACACTATAGCGCGGCGGGAGAGGAGAGGGGGGGGGGGGACAGCGACGATGACGGCACGACCTAGCGTAGGCCTGAACCGATCGCCGGCCGAACGGAAGGGTGGGTGGATGGAATGCACAAAAAAACTCACCTATCGTCCTGAAGACCTGCCAAAGCGCAATACCACGCCAAAAACGCGGCAAGCATACCAAAAGTACCACCGCAAATCTGCAGGTTGCGCGACGCGGTCAACGCACCGTTGTTGGCGGCGTAGTTCTCGCAGGCGAGGAAGAGGAAGGCCAGATCCAGGGTGAAGAAGAGGGAGAAGAAGACCACGGTCGAGCGCAGGGTGCAGAGGAGCAGCAGCGTCGTGAAGATGAACCAGCCCGTCAGGAAGAAGCCGACGGCCGAGTAGTGGTCAGAGTAGTTGGCGGCATAGGGGCCATTCGTGGCGATGATGCCCCAGTTGGGGGTCAAGAGGATGCCGTATGCGATCCAAAAGCCGCCGTACGATGAAAGGGCAGTGGCACCAAAGGTGTTGCCAACGGCCATCTCCCTGTAAACGACCAACCGTCAGTCAGCATTGGCGCGAATGAAGCATGCAAGTGATGACTGATTTGTGATGCTCATATTACACAAGCTTCTCCACAGGTTCCCCCTAATCGTGGACGCAAGCAAGCATCCTATGGACCAAACTTCCCCGAGTCCCCCATGCTTGTGTGTCTAGCTCAAGGTCCACTCCGGCGCAAAGGAGCGCGTCCATGCTCCACATGGGCGCACCGGAGCTTCCGCTTGCGGGGGACATCGTGGAGACGGTTGAGATGAGATGTTGGGGAAGTTTTGGGGACCCTGGTACGGAAAAGAAAAAATAAGAAAACATGGGTGGAAAATTCTGTACATACCACATGCCAGCGAGGAGCTGGACCAGACCTCCGTATCCAAAGGCGAGGGGGACGGCAATGTTGGGCGCAGTCACGCCGCGAGCGTGGAGGTTGACGCAAGAAAGGACGAACGTGGTAAGGGCGAAGGCCGAGAGACCGAGGGGTGCCGGGTTGGCGAACTTTCTGTGCTCATACGGCTTCCATAGGCCGGGTTGGAGCGAACCGCCGAATGCCTGCGCTTCTCCTTCAGTCATGTTCCGGTAGTCGGCAACGCGGGAGAAAGGCCCGGCTTGTCGTGAGTATGTGTTTTGGCCTACTTGAGCACCATTGGCACCATTGTAGTGGTCGGCACCAGAGGTATGCACATCCTTCTCCACGTCCTGTGGAGGGACGGCGTTGTGGTGAGCATCGTGCGTGGCCATTGTGTGTGGTCTTCCGGGTGTAAGAGATAATAAGGCAAGGATGTAAAACAGGAGAAGAATGAGTATAAGGGGGTATTTGTAGCAAGAGTAGGCAAACTCCACGGAAGACGGCACACAATTTTGATGAAGGAAGATTTCTATCGACTCCGGGGAAGGGGTGGGGAGCAGTCTTTAAGTAATGGGGGAAGAACGGGGTTCGAGGCAAGAAACGATCAAGCCAGGACGAACGGAGGCCGGGGTCGATGGTCAGCGCAAAATGCAGAATGCTGATGGGCCGGTAGCTTCGTGAACGTGTGTGAACGTCTGGGGTATGTACAGATACGTGGGCCCGACTGGCGCGGAGAACTGGAGATGGATGAGGAGGAGGAGGAGAAGCAGCGTGGAGGACGACAAGTGAGGAGAGGAGGCGTCGTCTGCAGGAGCAAGAGGGAGGGAGTGGGTCGAGTAAGATCGCGTAGTTGGTAGACTAAGAGGGTGTGAGGGCGAAAGGCGAGCCGTCTGCTTCCAAGGGCCGATCTTTAAAGCCCAGAGAAGAATGAACCGGGGGACGAAATGGGCATGGGGTGCAACGGAGGCTCCATAATAGATTCATTATTTTAATATTTTAGGTTGCGATGTCGGGTGGTGGTGGAGTGACCACTGACACGGCGTCGGAGCCCGCCATTGGAAGGGGAGATCTGCTGGAAATGACATGGAAGGAAAATCCGCATTGGCGCGAATAAAACTCTCCTCTCGTCTTCCCCAGAGGCCAGACGGGCCGAAAAGGAAGCGTCTGCTAGTAAAGGGGTTTTCATCGCCATATGCTTCGAAGCCAGCATGCCAGCTCAAAGACGACATGCCCCGATCATATGGAGACGGCCTGCACTCGAACTGGCATAGTAGTGTGCTTGCGGGCCTTGTGAGAAATGCAGCTCCTCGATCCATCCCCATCAACAGTTCGGCCAGTCGTTGCTTACATCCCGGCCATCCGGTCAGTAATGGAAGTAGCGGGGGAACTCATCTTTGGTTGGTGAAGGCAACTTGGCCTTGCTCAGCTCTGGTAAACTTGGTATCCAATGATGGGGGTGAATGCCGATTTGAGAGGAGAGTCTCGCCATCTCAAACTCTGAGACATCTTGGAACGGTCATCCTTTCGCCCATCCCCGCGGGTTTGAGCTACTGTCGAATTCCAGTGAACGGAATACGTAGGTGCGGCAGATTATGACAATTGAGAATACCTAGCAAGAAAACATGCAACAGCCAAAGGACCAATGGAGGAGAACAGCTCTATGGCTTGGGCCACTTGAGAAATCAGTCCACGAGCTGATGTCATTCCCACCTTTTCCGTCACCAGAAGCTTCTCCAATTTTTTAGGCGTGGCTGCTCTTGTCGCCGTCTGCAACTAGCAAGGAGCGGGGGTGGGTGATGGGAAGGCAAATCATTATTGCATAAGCCGCTTAGACGCTGTTGTCGAAAGCAACCCCAAAGGGCCTAGCCTCTGATGTTTGTCGAAGAAGAGACAACGACTGAAGTACCATATGGTCGAAGTCTCGTTCGCATCATCCCCAAAGACGTCGAGGTTTGCGTCTACACAGTACAAACGGTCGTTTCTAGATGGCACTGCTCGTCCCCTTCACCAAAGCTGTCCAACAGCCCAACGCCTATGCAGACATGATGCGTGGGATTGCGGATACGTCGCTGAGCAGTAGCAGCAGCAGCAGCAACAGCAGCAGTAGTTACAGCAAAAGGGACCGGCCAAGACCTGATCGAGCCCCAAAATGCAGGGAGGGCGTGGCGATAACACCTGATGTAACTATCACTGCAGCGGAAATAAGAGGTGCGTCTCCCGTCTGGACGCTTTCGGATTGGCGTTGTGCTCTGCCCTGACGCCCGGCCTTCCATGGATTCCGTCCAGATTATTCCCTCTTCGCGGCCGCGCTCTCATTGGGCGATACAGCAGGACGGCCAAAAAAGGTCGCTTTGAGTTGTAACTTGTAGCGGCACATCGATATTACTGTGTGTCATGAATATGGTCGAACCAAAAGGCCTAGCGGATCAAGGGTAGCACTTCGGCGGTGCTTGATGAAAAAAAGTCATTCCTGCAACAGGGGACCAGCCAAATTACCGCCACGGCTCTTCCCCGTCTTGGCTACGGATCGTGGGCGGGCACAATCTACCGGCAGTCGGCATGATATTAGTACTGGCCTGGTTGGCGATGCGGCGGCTGCTGCTGAGCTTCTCGAGCGTCCAAGAAAGGAGGTTTGACTTACACCAAACGATTCTGCGAAAACGATCAGCTATAGTGATCTCGTCAATGGAGAATTTCGTCGAGATTGGAGGTTTCCACTCCCCCGGTTTGTAGTCTGTATGGTGGGAACACAGCACCACTATTTCGGGTCTGCATCGCATCGCGCGTTTCAACCAACCCAACTCTTTGGGCGAGATCTTTCTGCCTCTTTGCCGGCCTTTGTCGCAATACATCTGTCATCTGGTCACATTCTGCCGGTCACTGTCCATATCAACCGTGCCCTAAAGATGGGTGCTGCGGGGAATCTGGGGGTGGACTGGCAATATCCCAGCCTATTCGAGACACCCCGAGCTCCGTTGACTCCGGCTTCAGATGTCGACGCGGATACAAGACCGGGGAAGAAGAGTTCTCTAAGGTGTACGTCAGGCGCCAAGGCGTTTCTTCTCTTTCCATGTGGGAAACACTTCGAGGTTGGTATAGTATGAAGGCTCTTCTGTACCGCAATGCCCTATACTCAGTTTCTGAGCCATCTCGCATGCTGAAAGCCTGCAAAGTTGGGCCAAGTTTGTCCAAAGCGTCATCATGACCGTGCTGTATTGGAGTAGCCTTGTTGATCAACCCCAACAATGGCCTCCAACAGAAGCGCGCAATCGACGGCCACATGGCGCTGGGCTGCGGGGGAAGCTTGGGCGATTGCTACACACCCTTTGCCATCCACTCGATCGACAAGAGACCATTGCTTCCGTGTGCGTATGCATATACCGAGTCGAAATACACACCCTGTAGTGCGAATGGTCCGATGATGGCACCAGGCGCCGGACGAACCACGACATGTGTTCGAGCTCCCGCTGTAGTCTTCGGGATTCTCCCTGTCGTGGATAGCCATCATGCCTGTTGGTTTGCAATTGCCTTTTCCCCAGATCTGGTGGCTTCTAGCCTATTTCCCCAGACTGCGCCGGCGTTGTACGTAGTCCGACACTTCCTAGGAATTTGGAAGCAAGCCACGACGTGGTAGTTCTTGTCTCCACGCCCTCTTCTTGCGTCCCTTGGTCCGGAACGTGGGTAGCCTTGGTTGTATTTCAACCTACAAGCTCCTGACCGGTCTGATACGTGCGACTTTGTACGTCGGTTCTGCCCGGCAATAAATCGAAATAGCTACTCCCGATAGACCTCGAAAGTTTAGGTCAATTTAGGGACAATCGTAGATCTTGGGCATCGGGCGTACTGAATATCTTCGCTCCGAACCGGCGCCGACAAACCAGAGCAAAGACATGGCAAGATGCTACAGTGGAAGTCACCTGTTCTGACGAATGCCGCGCCTGTCCGTGCCCTGTCATGCAACCCTTGACGTGGAATGCTCTGCGGTCTCTTCTCGCAGCGGTGACAGTGACACCACACTAGGACGCTCATCACTGCCTCTTTCTACTGCTGGCTCCGTGGGATCATCAGTCCACTAACAAAATGTCACCTGAACAGATACCATTGGCTCTTGATCCCCTGGCCAGCTGCGAATCGCTCTTCCTTCCATTGAGCCAGCTGGCATATCAAAGAAGGCACTGGCGCATCCCGAGCTACTCTTGCTCTGGGGTTGCGTGGTGATAGCAACAACTAGTAGTTGCTAGTGAACGACGGACTGGGGAAATCGAGGAGATCCCGAGTAGTAAGCGGGAAGGAAGGCGACAGGCGCCACAAATATGACCATTTCAGTAGCGGAATGGTTTACAGCGCTCGTGGATTCCAAATGTTTGACGGACTACGTAGTCGAACATTGCAGCGTGGATCAAGTACCGGTGCACTTAGACCTTTGTTGCCTGCGTCCGTCTGAGAAGCCTGCCAAAAGTTCGCGCAAAGGCCCAAGCCTTCGTCCTCGACCGCCTCCATGCCACGGCCTGGACGAAGGGCTCAGTCAGGCGGCGTACAATGACAAACTGGATAGATTCTGTATCCCGTCGTCTTTGTCCAGTCTCTGGCCAGCACCTTGGCCCGAGCAAGCCGCCGTTCAACGGTAGCCGCGGATCGATTTTCGATGCCCAGCCCCTTGGTCCGTAATGCCAATGATTGAGGCTCGAGCGAAAGCCGAAAGGATCAGTCGACGACAGACGTCCCAGCCTGTGCGAACTGCCAAGAAGGCAAGAAGTCAACGGTGGTCATTGGTTTTCTCTTTCGCAGCCCCTTTTCTGGATGGCCAAGGCCGCTTTCGCAACTTAACCATTCAGGACTTGTGCTGGAAATACCGCAAGGGCGCCCCCCTAGAAGGTCCATGGTGCGATGCCAAGATTCACAGGGCTCCGACAGCACGTTGTTCAGGACCCTGTCCCACAGCAGCCGCCTGCTGCATGGCGTTCTAGGGCCGCGCTGTTGCACAAAGCCTAGGCTGTCCAATGCCAGGAGAGAGCTAAGGCTGCTAAGCAACTTCCATTTCTCCGAGATGCCTCCTCCTTGGGCAAGAATCGTTCCACTCCGACGCGGCGTTGGGAGAGGTGGATTCCCAACCTTTTCGCTGCTGTTGAGGTGCCCCCGTCCCCCCGTCCACTGGCCTGGCAGAGGGAATGAACTTTTTCACGTCAAGTCTGAAGCTGAGCCGAGGAAGATGGGATGGCAGACTGGAGTTTAACGTCGGGCCTCCTACTCCGTCCGTCGGCTCGTTCGAATGCAGGCTACGAAGATGACTGGGGTGATACGAAGCCAAAGAAGCTAGGAAATTCTGTCAGAGGTCTCCTCCTCGATAGGCCCTCACTGCACTCCCCCAAGCTAGATGCGTTCTGGGATCCTA